AAGAGTGGAGAGGAGAGGAAGAGTTCCAGTTCCATCCACTGCAAGCATTACCCCACACCCAGCTCCTCTCCGGCCAAAGCTTTACTGGTTGCAATCCCCTCCCATCCCCCACAAGTGCCTGGCTCATCTGCCCTCCCTGCCTCAAGTGAATTCCATCCTTTCCTTGGCCAAAAAGTCTGCTCAGAACTGGCATCCTTTGCCAAGGTTTGCCTGATCACCACCCATCCCTGATTCCTGCCCCCATGCCATGTACTCAGGTGACAGCTAGATACCATTTCCCTATGGGCACTCCCCTGGATACTGTGTATTCTGTCTTCTGCTTTGGACCATGAGCCCATCCAGAGATGACTGCGTGGCAGCCCTGGAGCTCAGAGTCCAGCATGGTGCCCATGGTGAGGGTGTCTGATTCTACCCAGATAGGGAGCCTCAGCCCCCATGCCTCATTTCCAGCACAGCCACCCCCAGGCCTCCAGCCAGAGCGCCCCTACCCTCCCATCTTCCCTTGGAGACCACCTTTTCGGAGGTATGTGCAGAGCAGCAATTGAGAAATTTCTTACCCAGCCCCCACTGCTGTGGATCCAGTCAGCCAGCCTCGTCTCCAGGTATGCCACCATCCACTCCTGCACTTGTCCCACAAGTGGCTCCATCTCCTTGTTGACACTCTCAGCACACAGCGCAGCTCCAAAGACAAAGAAGGCCACAAGGCGGCCCCAGTTGGGGCCCCCTTGGAAGAGTTCATCAGAGACCTGGGTGAAGCGTTGCTGGGCTGAGCCCGGGGTCACATGCAGCTGAGCCGCCAGATCAGAGAAGGTGCGACGGAAGCGGGTCTCAAACTCATCTCCAGCTGCCCGCATGGCTTGGTGCAGCGGGTCAGAAGCTGGGCCCTCTCCGGGACCAGCTCCACAAACATAACCCTTCTGTCTCAGCTTATAGCCTACAAAGTCTGCCACTAGAGCCCGTGTGTCTGGGGCTGAGGCTGGGGTCGCCATCCGGGCGGCTGTAACAGTCAAGGATGAAAGACTGGCATGAATACATGGACCAAGATCCAGATTGGGGCATTTCAGGTTTATCCAACCCAACGAGATAGGGAGAGAGAGGTGGGAGGAAATGCTCAGAGACCATTCGGCCGGGAGAGGCAAGAACGAGGATATTAAGTCATGGTGAGGGCCCAGGGCATGAAAGGCTGGCCATTAAATTCGTTATATGCCAAATTAAATGTAAACTAGTAAATTTTACTTTAAAAATATTTTAGATTCTTTCTTTAACAAGACAACACTAGCTCTATGATATCCCTACAAACTCTGCTCTCCACAGTACACACCTTTTGGCTAGAGAAGAGGCTTAGGACCTCCCTAGAGGTTAAGATGTGAAGATGCTGGCAGAGGCACAAGATGGGAGAGGAAACAAGGTCTGAAGGGAAATGTGGGAGAAGCAAAGGGTTGCCCGGGACAGAGAAGGAAAGGGACACTCACCCAGCCTGGATGGCAGATCTTAGGACCCAGCGCTGGTGGCAAGGAGCCCCCAGCTGAGGCCTTTCATCCTCCTGGCCAGCGTGGAGCCCTGGGAAGGGGAGGAGGATATGAGATAGGCGGGGAAGGCCAGGGATCAGGGTCTGGGCCGAGAAGGGCTGGGGTTACAGCTCCCAGGACCGGCCCCTGCCCCCAACACTCTACCATCTGTGTGGCTGAATCCATGTTTAATGACTGTCCTCCCGGGAAACCCAGGGCCAAGAGCTTCCTGCCGACACCATCTCTACTCCCGGCTCCCCCCAGTGCAGCCCAAAGGCCCAGCTCCTCCCTCACCCCCACCCTTAGCCTATCTCCAACCCCGCCTGCCTGCCAGGTTAGGGATCTCACGGGTCAGGCCGCTGCCGGGATCCGGGCCGTTTCCTGGTGCAGGAGCTGGGAGGGAGGGAGAGAGGGAGGAAGGGAGGGAAGGAAGGAGGGAGGAGAAAGGGGGGGTGGGAGGGAGGGCCCGGCGCCGGGGGATGATGGGGCCCAGAGATGCGTCCAGAGAGAGGGGCG